CCTTGCACACCAAATATTTTATTGCTCTGTTGTTCCTGCAGAACCATTTACTAAGATGCTCTCAGCCACTTTGGGTTAAGTATGGAGTAGCTTTTAATTCAGAAAAATTACAGAAACGATGAATGAAAACAAAAGCCTTTTCAGACAATGTAGAAGGAGCTTGGCTATAAACTGGAAGGTTATCATCCTTTCTTGCAAAGCCAGAATAAACTTGTTCTTTGGCTGAGAATAATCAAAATACACCACATTATAGGAGCTCATCTTGCCAACAGAGTCATTAAACATAAGAGCCAGCGAGCCCTGAGTGCTTCAAGATTCAGTTATACAGGTTTATATTATAAAACTGGGTATGACAGAAGTAGTTCTGGTAAAATATTGCTTATTGAATACAAAAGCCCACTGGTAACAGCTCTGCCATGACAAATATTTCTGTATCTGGTCATGTATCTGGTCATGGCCTCTATGCTCTGTAATAAACCCTTGGTGCCTGAAGCAGAGTCTGTAACAAGCAGTGCTCCTGCTGAAGAGCCCAGAGCCAAGTTAACGTTTCCCCCTGTCCCCAGAGCCATTCCTGAGGCCACCAGAACACCGTGACTCTGACACCACTCAGCCTTGCCCACATTTAGATAACTCAGTGTCCTCGGCACTCACCGACCTCCCCTCATTCTCTCTGAACAGTTTCTCACAGCTAATCTCACTGGGCAAAAAGGAATTCTCCCCAGCACGGTTTCTGCACCCTCAGTAAGGACAGAAAAAGCTCTCCCAGTAGACAAAACTTTCACCACTTTCTTTTGAACAACAAGTTAACTTTGAGCTTCATTCTGAATATGGCATCAGTCTCCTACCTCAAACCAACCACAGTCAGCAGTGGCTTTTAGTCTACTCCTGTTTTATTTTATAACAGGCAACTTACCTTTACCATGAAACATGATTCTGGAAATTACCACCCTGAGGATTTAGGGTATATTTAAGACCTACATCTGAACCCTGAGGCATTTGGAGCATACATAGCCCCAGCAATCTGGCCATCCTTATTATTTGCCATATCTCTGCAATCATTACCCACATTTTTATGCCAAGAAAGAACTGGAACTATTTCTCCATAGCCCAAAAGAATGAGCAAATTTTTAAAAATAAATAAATAAATAAAAATCTCAAAAACATGCATACCTTTTCAAAGTGTCACGCATGTCTTTCCTCCCAAGTTAAGACTTGGCTGTTCAGCCATGTTCTATTGCTAAACTGGTATTTTATTTAAATACCTGGATTTTATTTTACATCCAACCTCTCTTATCCAAGTCGGTTTTCATTTTGGCTCTGTACACCTGGGAAAGCTCAAGGCTCAGGTTATTGTTCACAATGAATGCAACAGTCTTCCATTTAAAAAGAGCAGTTGTCCAGTTAGAAAAGTCTGAACTTGAATCACAAATGCGGTTTGCTTCATCCCTAAGCCCAAGCTTCAAGCTCAGAGAATCTAAAAATTTAGGACTAACAGAATTCCAAGATTCCTGAACATTTTCACGAGCAAGAGAAAGCATGATAATATTTTTAAAAGCATTAGACATGATGCTCTTTCTTTTCCCTCTTGCTTCAAAAAGACAAGAGCAAAAGTAGTGGCAAATTCTGTTCCAGCTATAAGGCTGTTACTATAAATGATAAACTTTGTTTCTAACGCCCAAGAGGGAGCAAAAAAAAAAGTGTTAAAAGTACACCAGAATGATCGCTGCAAGAGAAAGTAGCAAAGCGAGGCGAAAGCAAACGCCGCACACACCTTTGTCTTTGCCGGCCGGGCAGTGCAGACGGGCTGTGGCAGCTCCCGTGTGCCGAGGGTCCAACCTTCATAGCCGGGACTGAGCCGGCAGCAGGGAAGGGAGGGACCCGCAGAGAAATCCCGCCCCGCTTTCACATGCTGAGGGCTCTCCGATCACAAAGCGGCTTTACAGCCCCTGTTCAAACAGTTCAGCTCCAGGGTAACAAGTTCAAAGTGGGAGGAGGCAGAAGGAGTCGGAGGGTGGTAACAATGGCGAGCAGACGTTCCGCTCCTCTCGCGTCCGCAGAACCTGTTCTTCAGGTTGGAAACTGAAACATCTGCCCGGTGCCCTGTGTGAAAGCTGCGCTCCGAACCTCTTGTCTCCTAACAGGTCTGCAGAGGCAAAATCGGATTTTATGATGCACAGACAAGTAGCCTGTGGGAGGAAAAGTTAATCATTGCTGAGCACCGAGGGTTTTTACATTTTGGACTTCCTTGTGGTAACGCCAGTGAAGCAGCTCGTTTCCCTGTCAGGTCTGCTAGAAGGAAAAGAAGAGAAGCATGGCATGGAAATCAAGAAACTTGGCTTCCAAAAACTTAATCAAAAACACAGCAGCTACGTTTCAAAGAGATAATGGCGGTTTTCTGAAGTCACCAGTATTAATCAGAATACAAAGGAGAAAAATCAGATTTTCCTGGCAGATCAGAGTGTAACAACTAACATTTTATGCATGTGTGCGTTTATACCTATGTATGAACATATGTATGAAAGCATATCACAAAAAGGGAAAGTTACTTGGCATGCTGCACCTCCCCAGTTCAAAAACACACTGACAGGAGCTCCACCCTTCAAAACATCACAAAACAACTCATAGAATATAATAAAATCCGTATAGTAAATTAAAATGGGCATATACACAGAACCTACACACTCCAAATGTCTTAACGTTTGTTGGTAGAGTCCGACCTTCAGCTTTATAAATGGTTTCTAATAATTAAGTGATCATTAGTCAGGATTTCAGCTTTGAAAAAAAAAAAAAAAAACCAAAAAAACCCACACGCAAACAAACAAACAAACACAACAAAAACAAAAAAAAACACCTCTCGAGCTCTCTCGAGCTCCTCTTTGGTTTATTGACCCACAAAATAAGAAAATCATATTTACTCACTTCAGTAAAAGGGCAACAAATATTTGCTATTTTTCTTAACAATTGTTGGACGTGTGAGATACACACAACTCTGCCTTTAATACATAAATCAAAACATGAGATATTTGATTAGAATTTTGAACAAAATGACCCAAGGATCGGTCAATTAGTTTTAATTTTGTTCATCTTCAAAATTCTACATCTTAAGGTGGCAGCTTCGAGTTTCTTATTTAATAGGAGATCCCCAAGATTTAAGTGTGAAATTGTCCCATTCCAGACCCCATTTCCCGTGGGACATTTCCTTATGCAGGTGCGCTCCCTACTGTTGAACAATGGAAAATGTTCCTCTTTTTTTCCCCTAATTCCATTTATTTCACAGCTACAGAGGGAACAACCCGCAATTCCATTGATGCGATACACCCTAACAAATAAAAACTGAGCAGCGCCTGGAGCAGGGAGGGAGGGATTAAGAATGTTTTGATTATCTGTGAGATTCATCACAGTTTTTCTTATCACGCACAACTTCTGGTGCAGTTTAATTAGAACTTTGATGCCACGATCTGTGCACTAACAGGCCACTGAAAGGACTACAAATATTCAGTTTATTTGTGGTTATGTTTGGCCACAGGGCGCCTTTCTTTGCTTCTCAGTAAAAAGAAAGAAAAAAACCCACCAAGCTCCTGCTCACCTGGAACTTTCCAGTGAGTTCCTGCCATATCAGTCTGTAAATTCTTCACCAAAGCACCTACTTTAATTCCAGAGAAAGTAGTTTTGTCAAATAAATTAATTAAATATGGAACCGTTTGACTGTCCCTTCACTTTAGCATGCTGCAAAACTGAATTTATAACAATGTGACATTAAAATCTGCTAGGGAAAAAAAAAGAAGAAAAAAAAAAGAAGTGTTTTGGTAAAAATGAATGTACCAGACCGCAGAGTGTAAATATATATATACATATATATATATATATACACACACATGTATAGGTTGTATACATTTATAGGATGCTGCTACCTTTGTTAAAATACGATAATTGTTTTTAAAGAAATGGGGTGTTTGGGTTGTTTTTGTTTTTTTTTTACTTTACAAAAATATTATTTTTAAACATCAGGCACAGCTGCAAGAGTTTCATGGCAGGTAGCAGGAGTGGCTGTCTCTCTCCATCGAGAGGCCAGTGAGTTTTATGACAAGAGTCATCAGACAGGAGCCCAGTTTATTCCCTAAATAAACTAGGAAATGATCAGGAATTCTGACAAGACTCCAAATCCGCCCTGTTCCCCGTGGCTCAACCAGAAAGGAACCCCTGGCAGGCCCTGAGGGACTGATTTGGGGACTCTGGCACTGAGAAATTCACCAGCCGCTGGTACCAGGAGTTTGGATGTGGATGCACTGACATGTTGATGTGTTTGTAGCTTTGCCGTATGGAGGAGCCAGAAAACAAAGGGCAGCTTGTTCAGTTTCCCCATATAAACAGCTCATCTTTGAAGGGCTGCAAGGAGGCTTTCGCAGCTGTTAAAAAATCAATGGCGGGGCACTGAATGAACCTTCCTTCTGAATTATCCCGGAAGGGCTGGAGCATTTGTATAACATTGTGGAGCGCTGCACTATCTGGGGAGCGGTGATTTGTGAACTGTGCTCTGAACCGGACCCAACATCTCACTTTTACCGTTCTTTCCAAGTCAGCTGTGACTGCGGAGCTCCTTCCCGCTCCTTTTCCCTCCCTTTTCCCCACCCCTCACGGCCCTTCCCGCCCCTTTCTCCGCCCCTCACTGTGCGTTCCCTCGCCCCTTTTCCCACCCCTCACACCTCCTTCCCTCCCCTTTCCCTGCCCCTCACAGGCCTTTCCCCCCTCTTTTCCCTCCCTCTACCACTCTCTTCCCTCCCATTCCCGCCCCTCACTGCCCCTTTTCCCACCCTTTTTCCCACTTTTCCCGCTCTTTTCGCCCCCTCAGGGCAGGGAAGGCGTTTCCCGCCCCTTTCCCCGCCCCTTTCCCCGCCCCTTTCCCCGCCCCTCACTGACGGGATATCCCTGCGCGGGCGGCGGGTGCTCCGCCGCCGCCGGGGTCGCTGTGCCGCCTCAGGCCCCGTGTCCCTCCGCCCGCCATGGCGGCGGCGGCGGCGGGCCCGGCGCGGCTGGTGCGGTGCGGGCAGAAGGACGAGCTGTACCGGGCCGGGCTGCGCAGCGGGGCCGGCACGGCGCTGCGGGGGCTGGCGGGTAATGCCTGCGAGGGTTTGGATCCACCCCGAGCCCTCCCGGGTGTTCCGGGATCCGCCGGCACAGCGGGTCCAATCCCCCACCCTCCCCCCCGTCCCGCGGTTCTCGATGGGGGTCTGAGGGGGCGAGGGGGCTGATGGCGAGTCCGGGAGGAATTCCCCGGGAAGGGATGGGATCAGCACGGGTTTGGTGCAAAGTGAGCCCGTCCCGCAGGTGCCCGGCCGTGGCTGCAGTGGAGGAGGGAGGTGGAGCTGCTCTCCGATGTGGCCTATTTCGTGCTGACCACGCTGTCAGGTAACCTCCTCTGGCAGTTAGCGTTTGTTATCATTTCTCCCAACATCTGAAAGCTGAGGGGCCGGTGCCGCGGCTGCTGTACTGGTGATCACCACCCGAGACTGCCCAACAGCCCTGCTTTTCAGCGCAGGGGTTGGTTTGGTTTGCTTAAATGCCTTCTGGTAAATATGAAGCCGTGAAATTGTCGGGGTCGGGTTCAAACGCACTTTATCAACACAGACAGATGTTCTTCTAAAAGCAATTTTGAAAAAAAACGAGTAGATGACACCATGAAAAGTATCCCTGCTTTAAGCCTAAAACTGCAGATACTGGATGTCACCATGATGATTATCTTAATTCAGACGAAATAAATGAACTATTTCCAAATTCCAAATCCTCAGTTGTGGCCTGAACAGCCTGTCCCCACTTCTCACCACATCCAGAATGATCCTGCAGTTCCCCTCTCACCCTGTTTTCTGTTGCACTGTTCAGGTTATCAGACTCTGGGAGAAGAGTATGTGAATATCATTCAGGTTGACCCAAGCAGGAAGAAGGTGCCTTCTTTCTTTCGTCGAGCCCTTTTCATTTCCCTGCACACCGTGGTACCTTACTGCCTGGAAAAGGCACTGCTGCACCTGGAACATGAGCTGCAGATGGAGGCTGAGGAATCCAGGATCCCAGAGAACCCCCCAGCACTTGGCTTTCCCAGCAGGACCTTAATTCGCAGCTGGATTAGGAAGCAGGTTGGGAAGCTCACGGAGCAGCAGAAGAAAACAGCCTCCCAAGTTGTGTATGTCCTTAAACAATCCATCCCTCTGCTGCACCGGCTCCACCTGGCAGTGTTCTACATCCAGGGCACTTTCTATCACCTGTCCAAAAGGATCACAGGGATTTCATATGTAAGTCGTTTTGGTTGAAGATGTGTCTACTGCAGAATGTTGGCCTCTTCTGAGGTGCTGTATGTGTAAAAGGGATAATGAATTTGGATGTGATTGATTACACAGGCGGAGTAGAGGGGTGAGAGGGAAGGTTTTGCTTTATGTGGGGGTTGATGAGTCCCTGCAGCCAAGAGGCTACAGGTAGTGAACATGAATGTGATGTCACAAGTTAATACCTGTGTGACTTCCATCCTTCTGCCACAAATACAATGGAAGTGAGAGGTGACTTGATAAATCCGTGGGAAATACTGTTTTGAACAACACCCAGTACACATTTAGTACACTTTTCTATATGAAGATAAATTTGTATCTTTAGGAAAAAACATGATCTATACTGGCCCATTTTTTTGACATAATGAGAATCCCAAATCAAGTTTATTGCAGATGGGGAGAGGGGGAACAATTTCCTAAAAACCACAGTAACAAAACATCCTCTCTATGAATTCTGTAGCTGCATTTTGGAGGACTGCAAGGAGAAGATCAGAGCATCCGATCAAGTTACAAGTTTCTTGGAATAATTTCCCTCTTCCACCTTCTGCTGACCATTGGAGTTCAGATGTACAGCTTCAAACAGAAGCAGAGAGCGAGGCAGGAGTGGAGGCTGCACCGCAACCTCGCTCACCAGAAGTAAGAGGTGGTTTTTACTTCCTAGGGAAAAGGTGGGAATGTCACAGCTGTCACGAACAGGGACAACACAGGAGTGACACCCCAGTTTAGGTTACAATCTGATGTAACGTAACAATTAATTAGCAAAACTAACTCCTGCACGTCTCGGACTTCATGTTTTGGTGGTTTTGAGACCTTCACGAAAAGGGTTGATACTTGAGCACGGGGCTTACTTCAGGATGGTGCTATTTCTGACAAGCAGGGTGAGTGTAATTAACCCCACTGTGCCTGTGTTAATTAGAAGCACGAGCAAGGAGGCGGCTGCCGGGCGCCACTCGCGCTGCACGCTGTGCCTGGAGGAGCGGAGGCACAGCACTGCCACCCCCTGCGGGCACCTGTTCTGCTGGGAGTGCATCACTGCCTGGTGCAACACCAGGGTGAGTACACAGCACAGCCACACTGCAACGTGCCCCCAGCCTGGCTGCCAATGCCCTAGGGCTCACTGAGGTGCCCAGAGCTGACCTATGGAGCTGTTGAAATAAAATGACAATTACATAGGTGAGGGCAGTAAGGTGAGCACTTCAAATCGTCTCAAGGGAGCTGGTACCATATTTGGGACTGAAAAATTATTTTCTAAACGTAGCTATGCAGTTTTATTCAGATTTTTTTTTAACAGAACTATTCAGTAAGTCCATCTACTCCCTTTTCTTTCTGTAGGCAGAATGTCCACTGTGCAGAGAGAAGTTTCATCCTCAGAAACTGATCTACCTACGGCACTACCAAACGTAAAGGGAACTTCTGTCTCCTGACAAGGGCCTCAGCTCATCCCCTCATACTTGTCCTACAGCTTGGGTTGGTCCAAGAAAAGGTTTTAAAACTGGAAACCCCCTGGGCAAGGTGGCACTACATTCCTGTGTGACAGAATAAAGCTATTTCTGCTTCTACCCTTCTGGCTCTTCTGATGTCTCTTGACCATAATAAAAACGGGTTTCTAAAACATCCTTAACACAAGTTTAATAGTTTTCTTCATTTTGGACAATAGAAAACTTAAATTCTCATTCTCAAAATGCAGGTGTAGACAACGAGTCCTTCACTCTTCTGTAATATCCTTAAGGTATTAATAAAATTCTATGATTTAATCTTAAGACTCCCTTTCTCCTGTAATATCACAATATCCATGCAGTGGTCTTCAGGGCAAAGAACAGAAGCTATACACAAAGCCTGGGTTTAAGAGCAGTGCAAGTTTTGATTATAAATGCCATGTGCCATTGTGTCTGCAATAAAGCAGGATTCTGTGATTTGACAAACAAATCTGCTTAGATCAAGAGAAGAAACAAATGCAAAGCCCCAGTAATGCAGATTGTGCACACTTATCTGTTAACACTCAGCTTCCAAACTCAGGTTTTTCCATTTCTATTAGCAATGGAGACTTTCCAGCAAGTATTCCAAACATTGAGGCTACAGCAATGTAACAAGGTGTGTTTTCCAAAGCCATGGGGTGTTACCAATACCCTTGAAGCACAGGGAAAAAGATTGTTAGTTGTTAACACACCTTGTCATTCTTGAATGATAGAAGATGCAGAAGATCAATTTATTTGTATTTTTCAAATATAGGTAGGGAAAAGAACCCAGGTGATCCAGCCTTTGCATCGTGAGTTATAGTTTCAATAAATCTGTCAAAAATGGCACTGAATGTGGACTCTGGGGCAGGGCCAGGAAAGCTACACTAAAAGCATTTTTAAGATGGGTATTTGCACTGCAGAAATCCTGGTTATCCAACTAATAATTAAATCTCCAAGTATTATCATAATTACCCAGTCAATTTAGTTTAACTTTTCATCCTATCTGGAAATGGAATAAAAAATAGTTGCTGGTAACTATGTGAACACTTCATCATCACTACAAAAGTGACATCATTCCTTCTACACCAGAAAACTTGGAGGCATTCCTCATTTAATTAACTGTCAAGGCAATAGTGGAAGAAAATAATCCATATCACAAATCAGAACAGACTACCTAAGGAAATCACTGCCTCAGCTCCTTCCTAAAACAGTAAGGAAAAACATTTTGTTGCACATGAAAACTAACAGGAAGGAACTGGTTACTGGGAAGTGTCTTTGAAACTGTCCAGCCAATTTTTTCATGTGTTCTTTAAGGGGAATTAATTTTTAACATTTTTAAGTGATACAGCAGAGCAAAGATTAACAAAATGCCATCAGACTTGCCTGGCCACGGCAGGGTGAGATGGGGAACTGGACTGTTGGTGAAACAGCTCCTACAATCCATGTTTGAAAACTTAATCCCACTGGATGCAGGGCATCTGCCTTCCAAAAGGAAGGCATCAACCTAAACTTGCCTAAACTAAACCTCAATACAAAGTTTAGGTTAAAATGTCAGATTTGCAATGGACGTCATTAACACTCGTGTTTAGTAGGAGTCATCCCAGTTGGTAATTTTAGTATTAATGTCACATTTTTCTTCCTGATTCGTCCATATTCAGAAACTCCAGCAAGTCTGAAAACAGCTTCTCCAAGTCAAAGCTTTCAGATTATCAGGCAGCAAACCATGATCATCTGTGACTGGTATTTTTATAAACCCCACTCTGGGTGCTCTCTCACTAATTTTAAGTCCTTACATTCCTGGCTTCCACCCTGCTAATAAAAAAAACACATGCAAACCAACAAAAAGCCACAGGTCAATGTGAGCTAAGACTACCTGTGACTTTCCCAGGATTACTGAATTCCAGAGCTCCACAAAGCCTTCATTTGACAAGATCAGAGGAAAAGGTGCCTACATACATTTTCCAATTAGTTGTCTGCTGAAGCTGCTGAACTCCCTTCAGAATCTTCCAAGAGCTAATCTTTTCTTACCTTCTGCAAGTGAATACTCCCTGAAGAGTTGAAAAAGGCATTGCAGGAAGGTAAACTGAGGGCAACCATTATTGAAAAGGAGTCATAAATAGTGTTTGAAGAAAACAAGTAAAGGGGAACACTGTCTTTTAATAAATTTTGGAATTAAAAAGTCACTTAATAAAACTGCAGTTGTATCACATGAAAAAGTTTACATGCAGGTCATTTATCTCTCATTTTTTTTCCCCCATAAAAAAAGAAAACCTGTGTTAAAACCCCCACCACTGTCTGTTCTGGCCAGTTTGGGTACATCCTGTGGGGCTGCAATGAAGTCAACTTCAATTATTCAAGAAACCATTAAGTATGAAAGAAACTCCAACTAATAACAATTAAAATATATATTTTTATAATTCCAGGTCCTCAAAGGAAATTGTGATAGAGTTTGAACAAAGTTCTGAGTCATCACGAAAGAGCCCAATTTTAGCATCTGCTGGGAGATGGAACAATGAAACTGGCATTAAAACCCAACACAAACGAGTTGCTTTAGAAGCTAAATGAGTATTTTTGCCCTACTGCAAACCCCATAATTTAGTAATTTCTTATTCCTATCTATACTTGTTTGGTTATAACTCAGTAATACCATGCATTTAGGAAACTGGCTTAAGTTCTGCATCTAATTTAGGTCTACTGAATTTTTCTATGAAAACAGCACACGGCCATGAAGCAGAAAACAGCATCACGTGTGCCAGCTTACACTTTCCTCCACAGATGTGCACAGCACTTCAGGGTGATGTTGAGCAGGAGAACTATGTAAAAATATCCAAGTCTAGGCCATTAACCTCTCCAGTGCAATGGATCTTGAAAGAAATGCATTATCCCAAATCCATGGGATTATCCAAAGCTTCTCCAGCTTCTTACAAAAGAGAATAAACTCAATGCAATTTGGTTAGAATGCCAGTTTCCTCAAGAAACTGATATTTCAGATAAAAATAGCAAGATCCTCATAAAATGAAAATTCAACTGCTTTGTCACCACTCTGTTAATCACTTTTATGAAGAAAAAAGGCATTGTTACAATGGCTCAAAATCGTTCCTTTAGTGAGCAGTAGAATTGGTCAACAAGTTGATTGCTTCTTCCTAGCTAGCAAAGGTCTTCCCCACATCCTCTTTCCCTTTGTATTTCCTCTTGCCATGTGTGAAGGGTATATATCTGTACTTTATCATGTGCTGCAAAGAGAAAAGAGCAGATGTTGAGGCAGGAAAGTCATGTAATATTTAGAAAAAATGGTTCATAATACACACTGTAAATTACTGAGTCCTCCAGAGAGTTCTTAGTAAAGGCAATGAAATAACTAACCCTACAGCAGTTTAAATCTAAACAGGAGTATGAGAGCAGTTTCATAAATCTCAGATTTTGGGTTACCCAACAAATTGTACACTACAGTGAAGATTACTGATTAGGGAACCATGAGAAACTGGAGACAGAGCAGAGGTACTAATTCTTTACTATCCTTTCATCCTTAATTTGTCACATTGAATCACAGTACCTATCCAAAATTCTGAATGTCTGGAGAAAAAATTAATTATTTTTTAAAATGTTAACAAACCATAAGCAATTTGTTAAAATGGTCTGAATCACTTGCCCCTGTTCTTTCCCTTTCCCCCATGTACTTTCTCACAGCACCTTGTGAGAACTTCCCTTTTCACTCATCAGAGATGGTTCAAAACCTCTGCATCCAAAATAGCCACAGGAAGTAGATGAAAACCTGCATAAAACCCTGACACTGCACTCTAAAGTCAAAACCTTTTGAAAACAAGAATAAACTTCTGTAAAATGTGCTCAACACTGTACACATGCCCCACCTGAACAATTAGTGCTCATTAGTTAATATTAGTTATTGAAGTTCCTACAGTAAAGTGTGTGCAGCACATTTAGGCCCTCCACTGAATGGCCAGTTTGGAACAATGCTGTAAATCCTGACATCACAAATTCTCTGTTCTTGCCAAGTTACCTTGATTTGCCTCTTCATAGTGATACAAAATAGCATAATGAAGTACATCACAAGGATTGGCCAAAACACAGGAACATTGAAAGCCTCAAAGAATGTACAAGCCATAGCAACCAGGATTCCTTTAGTGGCAGAGTGCCTGAAAAATAATAGTAACAATTAATCCTTCAAGCCCAGTTACCACTAATGTCATGCAGACATTTGTATTTTTCAAAAACAGAACACAGGCAGATGGATCCACTCACCAGAATTTGAATTCTGGGAGCCTTCTAATGAAAGGCCGAAATTCTTCATTTTGCCTTGTAGGTAAGGAAGGACCATCATCTAAAAATGACAGAAAAGAAACCAAACCACAAATCTCCTCACAGTAGTTTTTTACACTGTTAAGACTCCAGTTTTTCTTTTACTTTCTATCTTAAGAAAAAAATAAAAATCACAAAACAAAACCACACCCAATTTCCATTGTTACACGTAGATCCCAGTTAGGAGTTGCTGGTTTAATGTAACTTCACACAGATTCCTTAAAATAAACTTAACATAGATTCCTTTAAAAAATAGGGAATAGGAATGCCAGGCCACTTGAGTTACTATGGGAAGAGCTAAATGCACATAAATCTCCTTTCAAAACACAGAAAACTAGTACAATATGGAATATATTCAAGTCACATGAAAAAGGAAAAAATTTATACCAACTCTTGATGTTAAGTTGTATAGATTTTTTTCAGGTCTAAAAGATACAACGGAGTGCTAAAATTGCATTATCTTTATACTACTGTGTCAGCCAAAAGGAGCTGGAAGTTCGACCAAGTTTCAAATGATGCCAAAAAGGAACTTTTCCTCATACCTGAATCTTCCATTAGAGAGGGGTCTACCTTTGGCGACAGGAAAGCTATGAAGAGGTTGAGGTGGTAGATTCCCAAGGCATATGTCACAATGTACCAACCCTGCACAGGGAGGAACAGACAAGGGTAAAATCCTCCTGAAAATCATTTTCTGATACTGATTTTTTAACAAGATTTAACAACTCGGGTTTTTGGCTTCCTTGAGAAGCTTTTCCTCATATTAACTGAAAGGTCTCTGGGCTTGTAAAAATATCAAGAATTCTGTGATCAAGACAAGTCTTAGAACAGAAGAGCAAATCTCTCATGTAGTGACAGACTGAACATGTAACTGTGGTCTGGCATCCAGGTTCTCTATGCTCAAGATGTGGACTTCAAAAGTAGTAAAGAGCATAAAACCATCCCTTTTTTAATCATCTTTGCAGCCTTCAGTCTCTGAAATGTTCCTA